GCCCAGCAGAATCGTTTACAGAGGAAAGACAAATGCTTCTCTGTGGCCTCGTCTCGGACCACTGTCCATTACACGCCCACACAGTTAACTATCCAACAGACAAAAACCAGCAAGCGAAAGGCATCAAATGTCGAAATTTATAGAAATGTAGAAAATGCTTTTCTAAGGCTGTGTTTACATTACAGGCTTAAATCTGATGTTTTGTACAAATGAAAACACATGTAAATATGTATCCATTACAGGGACATGCAACCATAAAAATGCTATAATGTTTTAAATGTATGCTAAAATGTGAAAATGAGAAATTTCTCAATTTTCAAAATATTTACAGTTCTGTTCATTTAAAAGGTGCAGTGCATGATTCTGGAGAATGATTGTTGATATTTGAGCTCAACAGCAAAACAAAAACACCCCTCCCTTCAGTGGATCTTCGTGAAGCTCTGCCACCCAAATTCATGGACACGCATTGCCAAGGTGAACTACACTGGGCTAGAACACTTGTATCTACATGGCCATAAAACCTTTTGCAAATGTGGTACAGACAACAAATAACAAGATATCAAGTAACGTAACTAATTGTGGGTAACAACCTAGCTAAACTATAACTACAATTCCTGCTACGAAGATAACCATCTGCTGTCACAAACATTAGCAAACAGGACAAAACAATGTTGGCCTATTGGTACTGTGAAACAGCAACAATAGGCTATTGTTGCCCACCTGTCACCCTGGCCTTTCAACTCTCTTGGTGAAGCTTTTTGCCAACTTCTTACATAAATTTTCCCCTTCCACCTCAAATGGTGCAGTAGTTACATTCAGGTGCATCAGGCACACAATTAAATTGCTGCATCATTTAATGTGAAACAAGTAAATGTGAATAGGAAGCCAACGTCAGCCTTTTCAACTTTGAGGAATATTTGGTGGAGGAATATTTGAAAGCCTTGTCAACTTCCAGGAATATTTGGTGGAGGAATATTTGGAAGCCTTGTCAACTTCCAGGAATATTTAGTGGAGGAATATTTGAAAGCCTTGTCAACTTCCAGGAATATTTGGTGGAGGAATATTTGGAAGCCTTGTCAACTTCCAGGAATATTTGGTGGAGGAATATTTGGTGGAGGAATTTTTGAATGGTCGCTCTCACCTGAATGTTGCCTACAGAAGCTCAGATTACAACACTCACATAGGGGTGTGACTTCATTCTCTGCTTAGGACATTTTTACTCCATTATATCCATGTAGAAAATAGTTGTTTGCTGCTATGTTATTGTTTACAATATTGTAGTAGAACCTTTAATACAGTAAATACATTTCAGTAAGGGGCATCCTTTGTCCTGTCTAAACTCTGCTTATGCTTTTCAGCCTACTCATGACAGAAGTATAAAATGTCATGTAAATGTCTTCAAGTATTGCCATTTTATTGAGATTTTCCAAATTACCCACCATCACCTAAAGGTCTATTGTCCCATATCACAGTTCAGCTACTGCGATCTACAGTGTGACTTTGATGAATGAGCGCCATGTCCACAGTATTGTGTGATCATCAGCTCAGCGCTTTTTTCCCCCACGATGCAGTGCTACAGCTTCCGTTCCAATTTAACAACGCCATGGCCTGTCTTGCCCCCAGCGTTCACACTCACGCACAAGTCCCCCCGATGAGTTCCTCCAAACTCCCTGCTTATACTAATTAAGCCCTTTCACACCATGTCAGCGGTTAGAAGGGCCCTCCAGACAGCAGCGCCGGGCCCCGTCCTGCCTCACTCAATCAGAGCGCTGCTGACAGCCGCCGTGCTGGTGACACCCTCCACCCCAAACAAAGCCCTGACTGCTCATTTACACAAGCTGACATCATAATTATAGAGGAAGCACTGAGCTGCAGCATATCTCCAGGCCTGGTGGGTTTACCATGCTAGCTGTACAGTTTTGTGCATCTATATAAAACCTTTTTAAGTGGAATGAGTGAAACCTTGCTGAGTCAGAATTGTTTACAGTGGTGGTGATAGGAACCAGACGTCTGAAGAGTTTAGTGCCTTGAAAGCTCCCTCATAGAAAGGAAATCTTTATGAATATGCTGTCTGATGCCTGAGACATTGATTTACATGAGCTCTCCGACAAGCTTTTGACTAAAAATACATGCAGCGTGTTGCAAGTCAAAACAGTGTCCGAGGAAAACTTCTTTTTTAGACTTTAACATGTTTCCTATTAAAAATATGGTATATAAAAACTCCAAAGACTTATGTAGGTTTAGTGGACATTTGGATAACAAATGGCTTATTTTGCATTAGAGATGTCAAGACCTTTGGTTCCCACCACCATCATTTTAAAGAAAATCCACATCTGAAGGACTGTTTACGTCTAAACAATTGAATTTTGTGGGGGTTTGTGGAAAGTCATTTTGACTACACATTACAAAGGTCAAGACATTCTTCAGCATCAGTATAGTTTAAAAACTGTGCAATAATACAAGTAACAGCTTCATTTTCACAGTGATTTTTAGATCGTAT